CACCAAACTCCTTTAGGGTTTACAGGAAAAATTGATAGAAATTGGCCAAATTGGGTGAATAATTTACCACAGGAGTAAGCTCAGGCCATGGCCATTGAGTTTAACACAGACATAAAGTTTAAAGCTAGCTACACATTTTACCTCATTTGAGCAAGGAAATAGATATAAAGTGCCTTTCCCAGGGGCACAAAATTGGGCCCCGCAAACCCTTTGCGACACTTTATGATTATGAATAACTTACATCATGATGTCCGCTGTTCAGACGATGCAGGGGAGCTCCAGGACAACCCGTTCTTCCCCAGGATGGTTTTCCTCATGCACAAGTGGTTTGTGTCTTCTGAGGAGCTGGCAGCCCTGTTTATCAACCTATATCCTTATCTTATTTCCTGCCAATGTTGCACTACATTACACTCACTTTAAGGCAATAAGGTAATATGAGGATGATCACAAGTGCATGTGTACTGTCTCCTTGGCAAAATTAACTGTCTTTATGATATAAATGCACATATTTTTTTGCGAAAATTACATCAGTTTTTTCACTTTTGTTAGCCTTTCAAAGATTCTCTTCTTGGAAGCTTTTGTCTTAACAATTTTCAAACGTATCAGACAAGAGACAAGTCCATCTGCAAGTCACCTTGTCAACACAAGCCATCAGACCAGAACTGCAAACTCAACAGGTTCAAGACAAGAGTATGTTACACAGTAAGGTCAGTGTCATATTGTAGGTAAGGGCCCATATAGCTTTATAGAGGCCTTACGGGTAGTGGATTGTTCACATTCAGTGTTGTGGGCATAGCTATATACAGTATTGGAAGACTTACGACTTATTACTTTTCTTTGACTGACTAGATCCTGGATTTCCGAATTTCCGATGCACTTTGACTTGGACCCGAGTCTGGCGCGGGAAATACGGAACCTCCAGGAGCTGACCTGCAAAGACAGTGCCAACAACCACAAGCTCCTGGTGGACATCTCCAATCTGTGAGTTCCAATCTAGTAACTTTCCTTCAAAATCTGTATGTGACAAGGGGTTCTTTCAGATGGACATGAACCTGTATATACTGTACATACATGTAGCATCCGTTTTTTCTGTCATGACCATTTGAGGAGTATCTCAACTGTTCACTGAGTTCATTTGAATTGATCCGCTTTGAGATCACAATCACAGGGAAGTCCTGAGACAGAGTTAGTGGAAAGTTCTGGTGTTTTCCAGCCCATCCTATGACTGGATGCGAGCCGTGTCTGTCAGGAACTCAGTGAAGAGGAGCCACAAAGTATCGCTGGTGTTCGACCACCTGGAGCCCCATGAGCTGGCTGAGCAGATCACAGTTTTGGAATACAAAATCTTCAGAAGAATATCAGTAAGTGGTGGTCAAGAGTTTTTATTCTGCTTTGCCCTCTATGCAAAGGATTATTAGCAGTTACTTTGATGATTGACAATGATGGGTACATATATGGCTATAGGACTGGTGCTAACCAAGCATTCAAAGAATAAGGAATTCCACATAACATCCGTGTCCATAATATCACCAGGGTCCATAATATCGCCACCTTGAGAAATACTAGTAGTGTGCTTGAAGATATTTTTACTGCAACATACTTTTGGTATGCACTCCTTCACACATCAAATGTACATACCTACACATCTACACATGATCACAACACAAGACTGTCTCAGAGAGGGGCGTTTGTTCAAGGCAAACCTAAGACCAAAGCTAAAACAAGAACATTTGTCTACAGAAGTATAAAAACGTACAACACGTTGCCTCCTCACATGCTCACCGAAAACGCACGCACATTTAAAGTAAATATCAGTCAACTATGTAAAATATACGAGCACATGCGTCTTGACACATGGTGGTAAGACACATGGAGCACAGGTGTACCTCTGACCTCTCCACAACTTGTATATTTGCTGTTGTTAGAAGTATAAGTAAATTTAATAAGTAGTTACTGTTACTTAGTAATTTTTATTGTTCTTGTTAAGCAATTGTTATGTATAATGTTGTTGCATCTTTTGTAACTATTAAGTTGATAATTGTATGTATTTTATTATGTGAAAGGACTCCAGGAAGATTAGTATACACAGCTTGTATAACTAATGGAGATTCCCAATAAACAAACAAACAAACAAACAAACCTAGGGTATGTTGCAGTAAAAATATCTTTAAGCACCCTTTTTCTCAAGGTGGCGATATTATGGACTGTGGTGATATTATGGACACAAAAAGTACATATCTTAAGGTGTTTTGAGGATAAGATACATGTAAGACAGAAAAATATACTATTTATATACATAGTAAGATATGATCAAACTGCGAAGCAATAGACCCTGATGTACTGACATAATGATTTAACCTTCAGATAAAAGGCAACAAGCTCAAATGCTGCCTGGGTTCCACAAGATCTTGTTGTGAAGATAACATAATAATACATGTACATGTACCTACAATGTCCCAGGGTTTCCAGCTTCTTTAGATGGGAATGATAGGTTTCTAAGAAAAGTCATGTCCTTGAGCTGAAATGCAGTCTAGTCTACATTACACAAGGACTCCCACGCAACATCAAACCATCCAACTTCTTTGAATCGTCAGCCCAGATTGGATTAGATTTCCCATAGCTGATACCTTTTCAGAACCTGTTGATAGACCTGTACACATTCATCTTCTACTGGCAAAAAGCACAAGGTGTCTTTGAAAATATATCTATTTGATGTCAAAACTTAATACAGTTGTACACATTCATCCTCTACCAGCAAAAGGCTGTACATCGCTGAGGATTTAACGTTTTTTTTTTATAGAGCAATACCACCAATTTACATTCATCAAGAGATTCATTCATATGAGGACAATTAACCCAATTGGCAATTTCCTGGAGATGAATAAGCCTTGGCTAAGAGAGCAATTTTGTGGACTTTTCTACATTCTCTGTGGGCAGATGTGATTTATGAGTTGACCAATTTGGGGATAGTAAGGGGCTTAGAGAGATGGGCTGAGTAAGACTTTCTTAATGATGTCCCCAGCCCTCCACCAAATCCCTAATCAGTCTCTATCAGATAGATGAGTACTGTGCACAGGAAGATTCTGATGAAGATTTTTTGGTGTGTCAATTGAAAAGATATTTAAAGAGAGCTGAATACATGAAAATCAAGATGGTGTGGAAGTCTTTCTACTCATTGTTAATGTGCACTAGTTGGGAATCTAATCTAAAGAACATTCCAAGCAGGCTTTTTTCCAGCTCTGGATTTTTTTGTTTGTTTTTTGCTTTCATCCTCTCAGGTTTGTTACTTTGAATGACCACTGGAAAATTAGCTTTCTGCTGCCAAAAGTTGACCACTGTACTGTTTGCATCAACTGAGGTCATATACATTGTATACGCATTCCTTAACAAAGACTGGTGCTGTTCAATTGAAACATTGTACAAGCCTAATTTTCTCCTTGTTACAGTGTAATCTTCACTCGCCCAATTGCTAGAGAATTGAATTTACCAACATAGATGAACTTTCAAGCTTTGATGACTGTATGTTTCCACTTTCTCTGTCAGTTTTCAGACTTCAGGAATTATGCGATCCATGGGAAGTTGCAGGACAACCCCCGTCTGGAGCGCTCCATCATGTTGTTTAATGGCCTGTCCTTGTGGGTTCAGTGTATGGTCCTGAGTAAGTCCACCCCACAGTACAGGGCACAGGTCATCACCAAGTTTGTTAATGTTGCAAAGGTGAGAAGAAATGTTTTCTGCTCTACCTGCTTGTGTAGTCTGCATAACACAAACCCCACTGTTCAGGGCCCTGACATACTTTGTGGACATACAATGTAACCATCTAACGTTTGGCATAAAAATTGAACTACAAATGACAGGCCAGTATGAGCCACCATTGATTAACTGGTGATGGTTTATCATAATTACTTCATGATAAATGTAAAATATCATTGCAATCAAATGGATCAATTGTAGCACTTTTTTTACAGAGGCTTGTTTTAAGAATGACTTGTAAATGATAATGAAGCTCCACTCTTGCAATGACATAAGTCCAAGTGCATGACTATGACTTTTTGCTTCACTGTCACTTCCTGCATAGGCCTTGAGACAGCTGCAAAACTTCAACTCCCTGATGGCAGTGGTGGGGGGACTGAGTCACAGCTCCATCGCCAGACTTACCAAGACTGCCAGCCATCTTCCAGCAGAAATCAACAAGGTACATGTACTGAGAGCCTATAAGTTGAACTCTTGTGGCATAAGTGGCTAGTGATCCTACCTATGCTTTGCCCTTTTGGGTCAAATTCTGTGGATCCTGAGGGTTGGGCTTCAAAACCCAGCACAGGGATGGTATAAAGTATCATCAGTTTGGATGGTGACATTGGCAGCATCACTGTATACATCGTTGTCTCCAAGCTACAGACATTAGCCTCAAGCGTACAAAGCTTTGCATGTAAATGACAGAACCTAACACACTTGT